CATGTGCTCTCACACACAAAGTCTACTTCAATGAGACCACCAGAAAATATCCTTTAACAAAAATTTTTCAGCAACAGGGGATTTCTGACATGATTCAAGAGGGAAGGCCAGGCTGCATAGGAAAGAGTGCACAGAGAAGGGAACGCTGAGCTGCAATCTGGTTATTTTACAGCCCCAACAGCTGTAGGAGGTTTTGCTCTTCTAGGCACCTCTGTTTTTTTATAAAACCCTGAACCTAAGCATCTCATTTTTTGCTTTACATTTTGCCGTAATAGCAGTCGCACACAAGACTGTAGGCAGAGCCTATAGACACATCGCTTGTAAGGGAAGGTCTGGGTTATGCCTAAGGAAACTGGGCTGGGGCTGGGGGAGCGTGGCTGGCAGTGGGCTGTCCCTCTGCTCAGGCTGCACTGCCCCGCGTGCATGGGAGCCAGCGAGGAGGAGGAGACAAACAGGAATAGAACGTGTGAAAATTGGCACTGGGCTTTTCACGGTGGGTCTGAACGCGTTGCGGAAAAGGAAATTGTTAGGGGGTGAGGATGGCCATGAAGTTGTAGGTTGTATTGGTAGGAATGCAGGAGGGATGTTCACAGCGGTGGGTATGGGCTGAAGGGAGATTTCATGCTTTAGCAAAATACTTACTTCAGCTATGCTGGGCAGGGGTGGGTCATACCAGCCATTTCTGGCAGAGCAGAAACTAGAGCTGTGCACGGCAGTGTCCAAGCCTGTGCCTTAATTACCCTGGCCCATCTCCCATGCTGTCTCTAGAAAACTGTGTTTATTGAAGTGCAAAAATTCCAGAGACTGGAAGGTATCTTGTGAAAAACTTGCATATTATAAGGGATCTTCTGGTATACTTTTGTGCTTCAGAATTATTCCAATTCGTTCTCTAAGGATGGGAAATATCTGTAGCTGTTTTTCAGTACTGAAATATATTGGTGTGTATAGGTTAAGTAAAGAAATGATACATAACAGTATTATTAATATGACATTTTAATTGCTGCATCAGACGCATTTTCAAGTACTAAGTGCTAGGAACTGATAAAAAGAAGTTCTTATTAAAAAAACCTGAATGATTGAAACCATTTAGAGGCCTTTATTGTACCATGCTGTCAAAATGAGCAACTGACCTTTTCTACATGGTAAATTTCTCCAAGAAAAATTTTATACAATCTATTTTAATAACACTGATCCCCCCTCCTCCCCCCCTCCCCACCAATAGTTTTTGAATTAGATAATGGTCAGAGCAAGAGAAATGCCGAACCCTTACATATACTCTGAAGATGACCGAAGGTGTTACATATGAAGTCTCTGCAACCTTATCTAAATTTTTAGGTAGACAGATATTTCTGAATGCATCATTTGCTCTTCTTTACACTTTCAACCCGTAACAATTCTGTAAGTGGCAGCCCTCCATTAATTCACATTCAGCAGCAGAAGGCAGAGTATAAACATTATCTCAGCTCAACGGCTGAGGTAGGCTGGACCACTCCTTGGCATAAATAATGCCCAGAGCTCATCATCCTCATAGCAATAGTTCAGTAGTCCACTGCTATCATTATCATACCTCAGTCCACATTCACCCACAGGCCATATTGCGACTGCACCTATGTAGACACCTGAAGCCTGATATTCAGGAGCACCAAGATGCAGCAACTCTCTGGCACTTCGAGGGAAATACTGGGGGGACAGTGTCTTGGAAATATCAGTGCTGGAGGGCATTAAAGGCATTGGTTTATTGAGAGTAGGACATAGTTCTGCCCTAGTGTTTTCCCAGGCAGTTGGACATGTGCTTCCTGAAAAGACAAAAATCTGTGGAGGGGTGTAGGGAAGGAGGCAGGATCCCCAGGCCCCGGCTGCCCAATGTGTTCCAAAACCTCTCTGAGCAGATTACTTTTGTCTTTCATGCAGGCTCTGCAAATCACTGGGGGAAATTCTCTGTGACTGCAGTACAGTCAAATATTAATAAAATCCTTTCCTGCTTTTACAACATATTTATACGTAAGAGTGATTTAGAGTTCTGTGTCAAGTCGTCACCAGGGCTGCATTCCAATGACCTGTAGAAAACACAGGGTGTTTCTGCACTTCAGGATAATGTTGATTTAGGGGCTGGTACAATAGCACACATGGGCTATTTTATTTAGCTTCGTGGCATTCGTATTCAAAAATTGCCCTATAAAGAAGGGAGAAGGCATTAAAAAAAGTTTAAATGCTCTTAAATCACAAAGAAACATTGTGTTTGGAGTGAACTGAAACATTTGGATAGACTCAGAATTGCTTTTTTCATGGATAAATATTTTGTTGATATGTTAAATTTAAAATGAAAATCTCTGACTGTGACTCTTTTTCATTTTTTGGTACTTTGCTGAGGTTATCGAAACAAAATAGATATTACTCTTCTAGCTATTTGAAAACTTAGGCTGGTCTGTGATTTGATCTGCTGCCTCTAAAATCTGGTAATACTGGGCCCAAGGTTCCCTGCATTGGGCACCTCGAAGTGGGGTGTTTAATTTCGCTTCCTAGTTGCTAAAAATCAGGAGCATTGCAGAGTTTTTTGTTTTGCTTTTTCCATTGTTTTCATTTCAACTACTGGTTTTAGGGGATTTATACTGTTCCTATTTTCAAACTTTTACCTGCAACTGTGGGTGAAAAAAAATATTTTTTGACCCTTTTTTTCTTTTAATGAAAGCTGCCAGTCATCTGAAGTCTTTCTATTTCAACATCAGGTTCTTTAATAACATTTTCACGTAAAAAAGAGCTGGACTTTCACTGTTTTGGGCAGCTCAGAAATCAGCTCATCCTAGTGAAACACCAAAAAAGAATTGGGGAGCCAAAGAAAAGAAAATGAACCTTCACAAGCTAAAGGGTTACATTGAATTAGGGAGGATGGGGGTGGCTATATCTATATTTAAATGTATTTTCATGAAGACTGCTTTGAAGTTCTGCTCCCAAGGAAGAATAGTCACTTGGAAATCCACTTGTGCTTCAGCTCTAGGGGAGTTCAGCAAGGGAATAACTGTACTCATGTTAGAGGTCTTCCTAGGTTGTCCCTTGCTTTAAAAAGGGCTACGCTCACAGGAATGACAAAACAGGACTAATGTAGAAATTATGAGGTTAAACACTGAAGACATAAAGAGCCTGATTTTGAGAAGTATCTTCTACAGTGAGAAAAGTACCTTGCAAAGACCATCAGTAATGCATACAGAAATGAAAACAAATCTGAAGAAATGACTCATTGTTTAGTTTCACTGCAAAGAAAAATGTTTTTACTTCATTAGGGTATTATCAAGATTTTTAATACCATATCCACTTCTTTCTAAACTGTTCTCTTCTTTTGAAAGCTATGTTAAACCTCTCCCTAATAACTCCTGCGATTAGCATCTTTGTAGAAATCCCGGAGGAGAGGCTTCTAAAAGTGGCATTATATTTCTAGAGCCTCCCTGCAATTAAGCCTCTATCAGGCCTTCTATTCAGTTGTATATAACTGCTCTGCAGAAAAACTCTCTTCAGTTGAATAAAAAGAGATGTTTTGTTTAAACTTAGCAGAAGGATTGCATTTATGTTATGAAATATAAAGATTTTAGGTTCAGTTTAGCTCAGGAAAAAAAAAAAATACTCATTGCTTAATGGACACGAGAAGGTCTGCAAGTGATCTGTCATGGCAGAGGGCAGCTCCTGCTGGAGACCGGCTGGGAAGGGATGGTGCAGAAAGCTCTGCCAGAGCTCCACCAAACAGTGGTCAACTTCGTGAAACATTTTGTAGAATTCAGTGTGGGGATTATTAAACATCACCAGGCGCAAGTGATACTTGTTTATGCACAGTAAAGAAAAAAAAAAAAAAACAAAAAAAAACAAACAAGATTCTACAGTCACTTCTTCGGTGAGACTGCAGCTGCACAGCCTTAAGAACATGAAACACACACTCTTTTGGCTTTGATGATGTCAACACAAGATGCAAATGTTTAATGGTGAGTGCAACTCCAAGTGAAATGCCTTGTCCTAGGGACTAAATATCCTTTTCATCCTCTGGAGTCGTTAGATCAAAATTGAACATCATTCTGTAACATGTGTTTTTGCAATGCTTTTATCATTTCTGATTTTTTTTTTTTTTTATGTCAGTGTGTGTGGAGTTCTCCCTGGAAGTCCAGCACATGAGTAATCTCAGGTGCCAAAGTTTTGGTAGCATCCTATATGAATTCACATTTTAGACTCTTACTGCCAATTTGTCTTCCCATACCCATGGCTGAGAAACACCTTCAATATGCTGTTTGAAGGATTATCATGCACAGATGAATCTCTAACCTTTTGCTCATTTGTGTGCTTACACATTACCACCCCCATTTCCACCTTTTTTTTTTTTTTTTTAAAGGATATTGGGGGGATATTTGATTCACTTGTAGTTATAAATGGTTACAATGATGACACAACATGTATTTGACAGTGGTGAAAAGAAAATATATTTCAGAGTAAAGTGAGAAGGAAGAAAAGTTCCCCCAGTAATTATAGGAGACAAAAAAATACTTTTTATCAGATGTTAAAGTTGACACAGGTGTGACTTCACATTTTGAGCTGTATCTACTGACTTGAAAGCCATGCTCACTCTGGTATTTAATTTGTTATTCTAATAACTTGATAGATTGAAGGGCTTAATTAGATACTTTTATCTATATTTCAAGATGATGAAAATCAATGTTCTTCTCGTTTACCTTCATACCCAGCCCAAAGATGAATCTATACTTTCAAGCTACAGCTTGAATCAGGTGAGAGAGCAACTGAACCTGCTTGAAGATAGTTATATTTCAATCTCCCTTCAGAAAAGGTATTCATCATCTCTGCTAGTTTTGTTGATCAGAATAGTCTTTGCATGAAAAAGTCCTTTAAAATGTATTTGAGAATATGTAAGGTATCTCATATTATAAAAGATAGTGTCTCATTCAGATCTGGTTCAAGGCTTGCTGATGTCATTGAAAGTCTTTCTATTGAATTCAATGGGCTTTGGATTAGTACATATGTTTCCTTTTATTTAAGTTTCCCTTTTCTGAAGAAAATAGTACAGTACACTTCATACAGTGCATTGTATGACATCCCCTGTAATACAAAAAAGTGCAAAAAGTAAACAAATAGCTTTTATTTAATTGAAAGTGGTGGGTTTTTTTATAGGTTACATTGAAGAACGTGAGATAAGTAATATCCACATCACAAGCAATTGCAAGTCTCTTCTCTCAGTTATAACAGCCTGGCACTGGTCTTTCATGTCTGACATGCCATTACACTGGAGTTTTAACAAGAACTACTGCTTGTAAAAAATTTGACACCACTCTCCTTTACAATCTCAAGTTATGTTTGGCACCACTCCATTTAATTAATGCATATACACTTACCCATTAATTTCCAAGCTTATTTTTAAAAATTAATGTAATATTGATACTTAATGTTTTCTTAACAGTAGACCACTTCCATCTCCCTCCCCCATCCCCACTGTTTTTCTTTATCAGGAATGTTGGTCATAGTGAAGTATTAAGATAAAATCTACATATGGTTTATTTTTAAAAGTCCATGGCTGAGCATTGCTATAATCATCAAGGAAAAGGATAGGTAAGAACAGAATTCAATAGAAGGATCCCAGATGTCAATATATGGTTTGCCCTTTGGGATAGTTTTATTGCTCCAGAGCTTAAACCTGTAAAAATACAAACACACAAAATATTCTGACAAAAGTAGATTTGTTGTGTCAAAAAAAAGTTTTCCTATGTATTCTAGTATTACAGTACTATTTGTTCTATTTTCAAAACAAAACATTATCCACTACTTTTATTTCTATTTCTTAATTTTTTAGATATTAACAACAATTCCATGGAGTATGGTTTCAAATCAGCTTCCCACCCTCCTTGTGAATATTTGCTTTTAGGAGGGTTTGGGCTAATTTGCTGCAAAACTATGCTCCATTTTGCATGAATAATGAGGTACTAATGAGAGCAGAGACTGGACCCTGGGCAACCCCACCCCAGCCATGGATCAGGGCTGAGGGTCCCTGTTGCAGCAGCAGCTCCAGAGCAGATTAAGAGCCTTGTTATATGCGAGAGCTGTAGCTTTGAATTAATCAAGAAAGCTTATTTCTGTGTCGTTCCCTGAGCATTACAGGCCAGGGCAGATGGAGACTTACACTAAAAATAAGGTCACATCTAGGTGTTGTGCGAAGTACTTTCTCCACTAATAATATCTGAGAGTACCAGAGACTAATCTGCATGTACCCAGCATTACAAAGCAACAGGAGGGAGGCCACCTGTGGTAACGGAAAGTCTTAATCTATTGTACTTCTTAGAGGCACACAGATTTCTTATTATGCAATAACATTCAGAGAAAAAAAATAATCTCACATACTTGATATTTTTGGAATCCTTATTTCCTCACTGCTGCTGCCATCCCCACCGTCACTGACTGTTCTTATTTCTATGAGATAATCTTCTTCAAAAGGTACCAGAAGTTCAGCTGAAGTGTTGTTTGTCTCCAGTACGTGTGTTTTGCTATGTCTGTTTTGTCTATATAAAATCTAAGTGAAAAGGTATTAGAACAAAAGAGTTATTTTTTTTAAAAAAATGAAAAGATATTAGAAAACAAGATTTATTTAATTTTTAAATTTTAATGAATTTTTTTTTGGCTGAGAATATTTTCTGCCATGTCCCAAACTTTTCACAACACTATCAGCATCCTGCAGAGCATTAAACTTAATTCAAAATATAGAAATATATTCTGCAGAATTTTGTGATTGAGATCACAGCAGGCATTTACTCCAACTTTTAGGAGAGCCTTTGTCTCCTAGAAATGAGTCTCACCGGGAAAGTAGGGTTATGAAATCCTTAGCTGATACACTTATGCTCGTCTGTAAATACAGAAGTTAGACACACCTTTAAACAAGACTTCAATCTGTAAACCAGTTATATCCAGAATTTATCTGACACTTTAGGAACTAAGGTGTTAGGGATTTATTTTCAAATTTTGCCTCATTGTGGTGAGCATTTATAGTCAAATAAAAATATTCATATTGACTTCTGTGTAAAATTACTGCCTGCTAATGAAAACTGGGGACATTGCACAGCAATATGTTCCCTAAGACTTCAAGAAAGGACAGAAATTTGCATAGGAGCATCGGGGTTTCCTCTTAGGAAGCACGTTTATACAACTAAACATGACGGATACAGCGCCTTGGTCTTTTTGCTAATGAGACATTGGGCCAAGGAGCAGAGCAGCTTGGGGAGTCTAGACAGGGATCCTACAGACGACGAACAGCTTTTTTCCCCCAGGAAGCCTTTCTGCCTTGCTAGCACATCAATGACAGTGTTTGACTCCTTTCCCTCGACAATCTTTTGACATATTTATGCTAAGAGCAGCAACAGAAGAGGAAAGCAGAAGGAGAAATAGGGATCATGTAATAAATACCACAGAAAAGCACTTTTTCCACAACAAAATGTAATAAGCAGATAGGTTAGACACAAAGGAAAAAAGCTTAATAGTCTATTTTTAACTTTTCCCCCAGTGTGTGGAGCTACTTAAAAACACTCCCTAGGGTGTAAAAGAATATGATCTCAAGAAAGTTTTCAAGGTGGGGGCAGGTTGTGTCCTATTCCTCCCTAGACATAAATAACGCTGTGTAGACACTAAAATGCCTAGCAACATGAGGATCTTGATCCTAAGAACCTCTACTCATGTAAGCACTCTCCACCTCCATTTTTGCAGTCCTTCAGGAGTAAAAATGTCTTTCCATAAGTCTTTCAGGGTCAGAGCCACTGCAAGCAAACTTTAAACTAAATTTTTCTTCCATTTGAAAATAGATTTATGGGAGTGCTTTTTACTTTATTCACATTGATCTTTACGTGAGTATCTTCCTATCTCTTTTCAAATGTACATTTATGAACTGCCAGAGTGAGAACTTTTAAATGTGTTTTATGCCTGCCTTTAATGCTTAAGAGACTGTTCTCTACTTCTTATATACGTGTGAAACTCCTTCCCCGAAAAGAGGTGAATGCAAGGGTCTTATATGAGTAAGATTACAAGGGAAAGGGGACAAGAGAGACCCAGCTTTGGGGACAGAAGATCCCTGTGTCAGGATAAAGAGGTCCTACTCTGAATGAACACAGCTATTTTTCCATTTGTAGAAATGTCAGCCAACCACCCCAATAACTCTACAAAAGCCACTGTTTTCCAGCTAATGAACAGTCACCTTTCAACAAATCACTGTTTGTACCTCTATTATAAACAACATATTGGATTAATGAGATAAAGAAATTACTTACTTTGTAGCCTAGCACTTCTGATTCATTCTCCATTGTTTTCACATGTTCCCAGTTCAAGCAGATTTTGGAATTTGTCAGCTTCCAGGCAATATTTGCTGGGGGTTGACTTGGTGCTTTAAAAAAAAAAATGATGATAATCACAAGATACAGCTGAATATTAATTTGCATAGCGTAATTGAATGAGCTGCTGACATGGAAGTAGCAAATGCATGGGTGATTCAAATCTAAAAGAGTAAAAAAGTATTTTCCAGTCCATCATTGCTCTCGTATTAGTCAGAATAAAGATCTATTCATAGTGCAAAACCACTTACCGTGAGAGTTCATTTTCGAAATTAGGAAAAGGCTGACAGTGTTTGACAGTTGAAGTTATATTTGATAGATTTTGCTTAACTATCATGTTGTTCCTATCTGTATTTTAATGTACTAGAGAATGTTTTGCTGTATGGATTTCAGAAAAATCTAAAACTAAGAGCAAAATACAAAAGGCAAGATTTTCATCAGCCATGAGGACAGGTTACAAAGAGCTACACATTAAAGTCTTCATGTGATCCATCATGAAACATTGTAGGATTGTATAAATTCTCAGCACAATAGGCTGAGAGTAGCTTTTCAAAGGCTTTTTTTGCCTAAGTGCCAGGACTTTGAAAATTTGCCTAAAAGTGACTGAAATCGAATCCTGTGTGAACATGTGAAGTTGAAACTGTGCCTTTGAAATGTATCTCAGGTTTAGAACAACACATTATCTGCTTCTCCATGGTGAGTCCTTCTGGACCCTACCTGGGAGGACGGCACTGGGGGTGTTTGAAGAAATAAGGACTTGAACAGAATTAAGAAAAAGGAAGAGAGATTTGTAGAAACTTGTTGTGAGTATCCCAGACCTGACTTTAAAATGCCTCAGTTCTGGGATCCTTCTTTTCTCCCTACAGTTCCTACATGTTGATGATTAATGTATGTAACTTGGAAGGTACTGTTGATTTGGTAATATTCCATGATTTCTTTCATTTCCCATGGAGATAGAATAAATTGATGGTGCCTGTTGTTTCATATCTATCTGCTTCATGACTGTGGAGAACTTTGATCCATCCCACTGATAAGGAAAGGAGATGTTAGTGGACCACCCAGGTGAATACAAGCAGATGTCCTTTCATAAATCATACTGTCAGTTCTGGAAAAGAATAATTTTCCTTTTGAAGACATTTATATACCTTCACATATATAAAACTGCAAATTTACTTAAATGTTGTTTGAAAACTCTTTGTTGCTTTCAGCAAATATTTTATATATGGAATTTGGTAACAAAAAATCTCACAAGAGGCAAAGGATGTCAAATACTTCATTGACTGTGTACTATGAAAAGTCTTGGAAGCACTCAAAAATAGGTGAATACTGCTTTATTTAAAGCTTTTTAGCACAGTACTTAAAACCATCTTAATTCATATTCTTTGGGCTGAAAAACCATCACAGGATGATTTTCAAAACAAAATTAACTAGTTTTGCTATGCATCCAGGGAACAGAATAGGTGGCAACATAACACTTCCCCAAATCCACAGTAATACCTGCAGGCAAAAATACTGCAAACAGTTCTTCAGATCTAAGACTAGCAGATCATTTCCTCAACTAATTTCTTGTAATCGACATTGTCAAGAATAATAGAAGTCCCAAGTATATGCTTAAGTTTATTAAGTTAATGATTTTACTATTGTAAAGAAAAATAAAAGGCAAAGAAATTTCTGAAATCCGTGACATGTAAGTAAAGACGGAGAAGAGCTGAGCTTCACAAGAGTTACTACACTGTAGGAACACAACAGCACGTAAATGCAGTATGTTCATGGAAGGAGGACATCATTTCCATTTTCCTAAGTAGTTTAAAGTTAAACCAGGATATCAACTTAGACCTTAAATTGATCTTAGATAAGTATGTTTCAATCAGAATTGCACCTATTTGGCAGAAGGACCATTTTAGTTTTGCTTAGTCTCTACAATAATGGCAAGCACAGATAATTGTTGGAAGCCGGGAAGATAAGTAGGAAGACAGAGCTATTACCTTGAACCTAAAGCTCCCATTGCAGATGCACACTGTTTATATTCTCTTGACATATTATCTCTACTCATATTGAAAGTGCTTGCATCTTTCAGAGACTAGAGCTTAAAATTTTAATATATGTTTTTAAATATTAAAAGGGTTATTTTGACTTTAATTTTTAAATGAACCATTAGCACAATCCTGACTTTGACAGAAGATGAAGTCAATGTAAAACAAAGCAAATTTATTCCTTATACGTCTTGTCACTTGACTGCCACGTCTTTAACTTGTCTTTCATACATATGCATAAATGAATATAGAGAATCATTTCCAGATATGAGTATATTTTCCATTATGAAATTACCTGTGAGAAGAGTCTTGTTTGGGTCCTTAAAAAATACCCTCTGTGGCTATATTTTGGTTTGTGTTATTTAGATTAAATGGTAACTTTTATCATTAACTCATTTTACAAGTTGGTTCCTGTCTTGAACTTTGAGTAATAGCATGAAATAGCACATAGGCAAGAGGAAAATTGGTGAAAGACAGGAGAAATATTTCCCTTTTTGTCCAAAAGGGCTGATTTTACTGGGAAAACACGGTCCAAGGAAAGTATGAAAAAAATGGAACACTTAAACAGTATTGAATTTTGGGCACTGTGGTACATAGCAGATTACCAAGATTTCCTGCTTTGTGACTGTTTTTCTCTTAGTGAACATTTACTTCATGGGTTCAATCTTGCAGGATGGTGCTCAGAGCTTCCTCGTTACCTTGGAGGATGGTCCCATGGAAGCATCGGCTTCATGAGGCTGCTTCTCACAAACAGAATAGCATATGGTTTTGCTTCTACGGTTACAGAAAATTTAAAAAATTAATGACTAAATAGTACTCATATGAATGTATTCCATATGCTACCCTCAGTAGTGCACAGTTTAGAGGTCTGAAAAAAGCACTGTAATTTTTGTATGTTTGGAGCATTCAACAGTTTTCTTTAAAAAACCACGCCCATATTCCCACGCCCAAATTTATTGTTTGACTGTGGAACATGTTTCCTTTATGGACTCTGCATCTCTTTTGAAATTTCCTGAAAGCAAGTTGTATGCTGTTGCAATGCAAAAGGAAATCCTTCCTAATGGTTGTTACACTGTAGGAACACAAACACCGGTGTTATCTAATTTTGTAGTGTACAGAATTACTTTAGCATATAAATAGAATAAGGTAGATGAACTAACCTGATTTAACTTTATGAGAATTTTGGCTTCTATTGAGGTAGACCTGAAGCTAAATATTATATTAATGTCTTAAACACCAGAGTCTGGGTAAACTTTGACGATGACCACAAAAATATTGTCAGGGAAGAGAGAGAGAAGTTTCTTAGTCGCAGATTCTGTTGCTTAATTTTATGAAGAAATTTGGGATCCAGTTTTCTTTGATATTGCAACATTTAGTGGTGATGGGTCATGGTAAACTGAAATGTCACTATCATACTTGGGAATTTGCAACATTTGTTGTGTGAATTTGAATACTCACGTGATTTTTTAGTGGTGACATTTACTGGGGTGCTAGAGGGCCCTGTCCCCGCAGTGTTGTAAGCTCGAACTGTTGCAAAATATACTGTGTTAGCTTTTAATCCTGTGATATTTTTAGCTGTTACATTCCCATTGACTCTGACTTTACCAGCTGTGCTTTCCTTGGGATCATCAGTCCAATATAAAACCTGAAAAGTGAGAACAAAGAACAGACAATTCATTGTTTTCCATCAGTTACAGATTTGGCTAGGAAGCAGACATGTTGACAACAAAGATTTCAAGGAATACAGGATTTTTTGTATTCAAAATTAACAGGAAATAAAACCAAGCATAAATATTTATAGAAAAGAAATAAAATTTCAGAGGCTGAATACCAATTAAGGAAGTAAATTAAATCCTTAACTTTATAGATGTCCAAAAGGAAACTTTTGATAAGGTGAGAAATTTTAAAACCTGGTGTAGTTTTATTGTTTGAACACATTTGAAGAAAACTTTAAAAGATATAAAGAAACATTTTTCTCAGTCATCTACAAGGTTTTTTAATTATTTTGCATCGTGCCTCTAGTTTTGATTCAGTAACAGCTACTTAGACCTGGTTTTGGTTTTTGGGTTTTTTTTTTTTTTTTGGTTTGTTTCTTTTTTTTGCAGTGAGCTATTGATTTTGGATGGTTTGTGTACTGTGCATGACTCCTATTACCTTCATTTATGCATTTGTGATGATAGGATAGAATTTAAAGTATTTCTGACTTGCTTTACTCTTGGGTTATCTGATCTACAAAATAAATAAATAAATATTTGTTTTCAAGTAAAACACCCAGCAGTCGTATCTGAAGTTACTTCGAAGTACGCCAGTTATTAATACAAAAATCTGCTCCACACCCCCTCCACCCATCCCTTCCCAGTCCTGTGGATGTGAGATGCAGCTGACGCTGGGCTTCTGCTCCCATGTGGTGCTGGGGACCAGAGTGAAGCCCGAAGCAGCAGAGCTGGCTGGGTGTCACCAAGGTCTGGCAGCATCCCCCTGCTCCTGGCAGCTTCTCCTCTTCAGACCTTAAAATGCCTGGCCCTGGGCTTGATGCTGTGACACCAGCCATGCACCCCAGTGCTCAGAGCAAAAAAACCTCACAGCTAACAGTAAATGGAGAGACTCAAGTTTGTGCCAGGGGAGGTTTAGAATGGATATTAGGAAAATTTTCTTCGCCAAAAAGGATTGTCGAGTATTGGAACAGGCTGCCCAGGGAAGTGGTGGAATCACCATCCCTGGACATATTTAAAAGACATGTAGATGTGACACTTAAGGGACATGGTTTAGTGGTGGATGGACTTGACAGAGCTAGGTTTATGGTTGGTCTCAGTGATCTTAAAGTGTTTTCCGAACTAAATGATTCTATGATTCTGAGAGGTGAGTTACCCAAAGTCTTTCAAATACTCTGCAGCATAAGCTTTGCAGAGAAATTAAGTGCATTTATTCTGGTTTCCTCTGTAATCAATGTTATGTATGGGTCGTGTTCATGTCCCCAAACTATCAAGTACCCCATCGTGCTCAGACAGTGTTGTAGTTGTGTAAGAGGAGGGAGGATCAGCTTTGTTTTGTAGAACCAAGCACAAGTCCCTTTATGGTAGCCATGATGAATTATTAATCTTGAGGTTTTAATTTACATTATAAAAAGTCTGGGTCAGAACTGCAGTCCTGGTCTGTAAGTGCTTATGGTGATCTCAGGTGCAACATTGCTAATGAGAGTCGGGTGAAGAGCTCCATTGTCTGTTGACTTAGAAGCAAGGGAGGTGAAACCAGAACACCGATGTGGCCAGGAAAGAGACATCTGTAAAGTGTCAGACACCAGCACCAGCTGCCTCACCTCGTAGCCCAGCACCCTGCCCGTGTGCCTGTTCCACGCGATGGGCTGCCAGGAGACCTCCACCTCCATCGCCGAAATGCTCAGTGCTGACATGCCCACTGGTGCTATCTGCGGCTCTGGGTGATGGGAAAAAACACAGCTGGTGGAACATTTGTGTTATCAGAAGGGTGGTATGTCAGTAACTGAGGGAGATTCAAGAAGAGAGGAAGAGATTCTGGGGAGAAGCAGCAGGCAGAGGCTCAGGAAACCTGGTGTGGATCGCTAGCTTTGCTACCCATTTATTGTGGAACATCAGCAAGCTTTCAAAAATGATGATTACCTCAGAGCAGGGAGAGATTTTCAGAGATCAGCCACACTGAATGGTTTGAAAAGCTAGACCTTCTGAGAGCTACATTTTTGAATGTCTCCTGATTTTCTCAGCGCACTCAGTGGGAGCTCCCTGGGGACAAATAAGTTGAAACATGCTGTCTACATAAGGTGACTGTGAAAATCTGCCCTTTGCTTTTTTATACCTCAATTTCCCATCTCGTGTCTCTTGTCAATCTTTAATGAGCAGCTTTGAGCATCTCCTTACTATCACTGTGGAGATCTGTCTGATCATATCTGGGCTCTATTGATGTTACACAACCATTACTAATAAGAGCAATAGGCATTACCGTCTTCTCCTGAGTAGACAATGGATATGGAGCTCAGGGTCCCTTCCCCTTCATTGTTGTAGACACCAACTTTCACTTCAAAAGGAGAGAGAGGTGTAATGCTTTCGTTCCTATAAACATATTTGCTTGCTTCCACTGAAGCCACCACTGCTTTTGTCCAGGTTGTTGAGCCAAGAGGACGAAACATAATGATGTAGCCAAAATCTTCCCCATTTTGTAGTTCTTCTGGAACTGGCTGTAGTGACAAGGCAGTCAGTCAATAAGCATTTGCAAGTATACACTGTTTTAATTGAATCTTCATTCTCTGAGTATATTTTAGTGGTATTGATTTAGTTGACTGTGCCTTAGAGGAGATAATAATGTTTGCTCCATCACTCAATGCAATATTGAAATAAAAATCAAAATAATAAATCTATTGAGGCAATCAATTTAGAAACAAAAGATCTGATCGGCTCCATTAAAATTATTCTCTTTTAGGCATGAAGTTTTCAAAATTCAAAGCATTTCACACAGTACAAGTTGTAGCTGATTTTTTTCCCCCAAGGGGTGTAGAAATGCTAATTTTAAATAAATTATTTTTAAAGAAAAAAACTCAGGAAAGGATCAAATGTGTACACAGACGTGTGTGTCAGCTGTATAATTGCTGGCATATGAGTTCAGTACTTACATATTTTTTTAAACACAAGTGAAAGTCTCAAGTGCATGAGCATATTCTTGTTTAAGTTTGTTTAGAAAAGAAATGTTATTGCAAGTCAACACGGCAAAATTAATGTTTCTATTAATAAAATCTCATGCCAAGATACGTATTAATGACTCATACTGAACAGGCAATTACATCAACACTGTATCCAGCATGAACCTTTTTGCTTTCATGGGATAAAAATACTTCTGCGTTGACTTCTCAAAGCAAGAGAACATTTATGAAACAAGAAAAGATCAGTAGTACATGGAGGAAGGAAGCTTTTCTCAACAAAACTTCACTTATTTCAGATGTTTGCATCAAAGTAAGGTGCACGGAAAAACAGACATGGAAAATGGTGTAAAAAGAGGGAGACAAACATAGGGGCAGAACCACAGCCCCTGTGATTGCTCCTGGCTCCAATCTCCTCTCCTGCAGGGAAATGTCTGGGAGCACTAACAGTGTAAGAAAGTGGGAGAAAAAAAATCAGAAAGTACATCAGAAGATTTCAGGGCACTTATTTTATTCTTTGCTTCACAAATTCCTTCTAATTCTAATAAGCCTGGCCTCATATATATATATAATAAAGGTGTCTTTCCTTAAGTGTTTTACAAACATTAATTCCCCAATATGCTCCTTTCTATTTCTTTTCCAGTCCTGAGAGAGTTAAGTGTAAGGGATGATGGTACACTGGGGATTTAGAAGAGTTCAAGCTACTTTCTAGAGCATTTGATTTGTTTTTGAGGCTTCTCTGACCTCAGATTTAATCAAGATGTTTAGTGAGTTCATCACAGAAAGCTGGAGAGTCGTGTTCAGTGTTGTTGGCTTGGCATAATTAGTATTTCTTCTGACTATTTTTCAGGACACACTACGGAGTCCAACAAGATAATTTGATTGAGATCTCTCAGGTTGTTTTCAATTTTCATGTTTGTCTGCTCCCAAAGAGTAGATCAGTAGAACAGAAAATAAAACAAAAGATGCATATAGAGGAAAACTTAGTTCAGTAAAATTTTCACTCTGTTTGGAGCATAGAGAGGGGAAAGCATTCTCAATATTATTTATCTACTAGGGAGTTTTTTCTTTTGACTTCATTTTTTTTCCTATCACCTCCCTTCCTCTCCCAAATGGCTGGATAAACGGCACAGTTTTTTAGCATGCGGGAGAACACAGGTAATTCAGCCGATGAATAACATTATTTTTAGTTTAATTTAATTCCTTTTCCTTTCCTTCAAACTGTATGCATGAGCTTGCTTATTCATTTGCAAAAAAAAAACATGAAGTCAAGGGAGAGAGTAGGCTGCTTTCCTTGCTTAAGCTGAACTGGAAGTCTTTTTTTTTTTTTTTTTTCATGAAGAAATCTTTTCCATATCTTACAAAAGGAGCACCGTGTTTCTGGAGGACCTATCCCAAATCAGGAACTAAAGAGAGATCATCTTGCTCAGAACTCTGAGGCAGTCACACCTGATAGTAAGATACGTGGCCCCTGCCCTCCTGGCTGGGTGCTGCTGATGCATGGAGCAGCTCCTACTTTAGTTAGATGTCCTCAAAGCCAGAGGACAGATTTAGATCGGTGAGTCACATTAACTTTACATGTATTTTTCAGCACCAATGAAAAAAATATAGAGAGTGGGCTCTGTGTTTTGGGGATTTTTTTTCCATAGGGGCTGGAGTCCTGACCAAGCCCCTGCTCCATCACTGCACAGGCTTTGCAGGAGGCTGCCTGCCTTCCTCACGATGCCCACGGGGAGGCTGGAGAAGGAAGACTCCTTCCCACGGCACTTACTTTCCGCTCTCGACTGACCTGCGCTCACCCATTGCAACTTGTAGTACAGTATTAACTGTTCTGAAAATGTATATTCTCTCCTCTCGCTGGAGTGCCGGAGAATTAAAGGGCTCATCTCCTTTAACGCATAATAGGATATGTCTTGTCAGCACAGTGTTCCAGAATGAAAAACATGTAAACAAAAGTATGAAAAATGTTAATGCAGAAAATGGCCAAGCAGATTAGTGTGTTAAGCACCTCCTGTACAATGGAGATAAGAGGGTTATACAGACTTCTAAACATCTTTATAACATGCCTCTTAAACTGTTTATTTTTATAAATTGTTCACTATAACACAGAAAAGTTGCTGTATATCATACAGGCGGTTTTCTCTCCAGATGCAGGATGAAATCCAGACTCAGCCAAAGCCAATGACCAAAAGCCTTTGAATTTCAGCAGGGCTGTAATTTCACCCATAGGCTCTTCCCTGTTAGACATCTTAGGTTAATTGACTTAATAATTACCTCCCATGTGATGACCAGCTCAGAACGACTCCCTCCTCCTCCACTGATGTTTGTTGGTGCCACGACAGGAACTGGAGAAGAAAAGATGTTGGTGCTTGCAACTACGTACTGCTACTGCCAGGGGTCTTGTCAGCCAGGTGATTAGAGCTTTTCCTAGCTCACATGCAGCTATTCTGCCTTTCAATGTGTAGAAGAGGGACTATATTATATAACAGTACATTTTAAATGAACTGAAATTGTATTTACACATTTTTGAGTTTGTAAGGCTGAAGCCACAGATGTATTTGATATATGAGTACCCTGGTTCAAAAAATTAATTAAAGAAGCTGGTAGCATCAAGTATCAGACATTATTATGCCTCATCAACTAATTGGCAAAATGATGTTCCATTCAGACTGTAGCTGCAACACTACTGATTTACTAATTATGCGTTTGTTCGGTAAACATGTTGTTGGAGCAATATATTAATTTTTTTAATTGGCTGTATACTTTTCTTAGGAAATTCAAAACTCTTAATTTGCTTTTCTCTTCCCCCATTGCTGTAAGTGTCCGAAAGTTCATAGATTAGAGCTTGATTTCCCCAACATTGCTCCAGGTGTATGGCACCACAGGTACATGGTCAAGGCCAAGCAATGCGCTGGTGGTTCCAGTCTGAAGAGTCTTCTCATCATTCAAACAGGTCTTGGTAGAGAGGCAAGGAAAGTATCAGCATCTCTTGCCTCTTGTTTTATATTTCCATAAACACACCCACCCCATTGACCTACAAATATTGACAGTTTTTGGAAACTGGTTTGGGATGTAATGGGTGGAATTTAGACAGACCAGCCTTGTTCTTATTGTATAATTCATTGTAGATTTACTTGCAAGGATGATATAATGTTCCTTTTCAGCTGCTGGTGAAGTATAAAAAAGAGGACAACTCCAGAACTGATTGAGACAGAAACCCCTTATAAGATGTCATTCATACTGTTTACCATCTCCAAAGCCTTGCTACTATTTTTAGAAATTTCAAGATTGTTTTATCATTTCCTTCATTCAGCTCTCACTGTCTGAAAATCGGATGAGTTGAGACAGGGTTGAGGACAAGGTCAAAAATAGGCAGGAGAGTTATATCTCAGAAGATTTTTCAGAGATTTTGGCAAGTTTTGCCATGTCCATCTGTTCTTACCCATGTCTTCCACCCACTGTCAGCACAGCTCTAGTAGAAGCCATAAAGGCAATAGCCCTTTAAGTTCACAGAAATTTGTGTGAACAAACTATCACTTTAGATTCAAGTCCACATATAAATCTTTACCTGATTTCATCCTCTGTAGAAATTTCACAATAATTTTGTTGTGCAGTCATAAAAGTGAGTGCAAGTGCAAATGGACAGGCTCTTTTGGAGAGTTTAGCATAGTTATTCAATTTTGTCACTCACAATCAATGTCTTTGTGCACATCAGAGGCAAATAAGCTAAAACTGAAGAGGACTGCATTAAAGGAAAAAATGACAAAACAGACTTTCAAGCATAGTGTTTCACTGTTTCATGAACCAGTTGATGCTCAATTAGTTCATGTGTTAAATGTGTTCAGTACTTACTACATTTGCATGGGGAAAAAATTTGTACTACTGCTCAGCAGACCCTCAACTGGGTCATAGTTGAGAAACAGATGAAAATTTACAGCTGAGTGCACCAACAGAGGCTCAATTAATTCTCGGCTCCATTTTAATGAAACGAACAGTGGCTCATTTGCATCCACAAATCTACTAATGCTCAGATTTCAGCTGGCAAAATGGATATTATAACAGTGAAGTTCAAATTCACCCTTTCATGGCCAGCCTTTTGCTGTCCTCACTGTCACACTGTTTTTAGTTTCCCATTCTGATAAAAAAAAAGTAAAGATAAGCTGTTACTTCTCCAACAGCACAGGAATGTTTTGAGAGAGCACAATTTACAGCAGTGAAGGGGTTAAGTTACTAAAACCTAAAGTGAATCTTTCTATTCCTTTTGTTAACCTCCCAACAGTGCTACACTGTAAGGGAATAATGTTCCTTGTGCTATTGCCATGATAAATAAATAATATTAATTTTATTGTTTTTTTCTCTTCTTAGCCCTAGCCTTGTGAATCCCTCTAGCAAAAAAAAACCAAAACAAAACAAAACAAAAAAATGCTTTAAAAGATAAAAAAATTTTACTGACTGTGTAGGTGATTCTGAATTCACTTTACAAAGCCCAACAGTGGCAACAGCAAGACCTTCCTAAGACTGATGTTGATTTCATGATCAATCGTGTAATGGAGAACATATAACTGTGATATACTGCTGGGAAATTTAGGAAATCTGGCCTCTCCTTGTCTCCAGCTTTTCTTTAGCTTTCCTTTTCCATGTTGCTCCTTACCCCTCGTGTGTGAGAGGTCCTGTGGCTCTCCTGCTGGAGGAAGGGCTGGTGTTCCTCTCGGGCACGCACCCCCAGGCACCTGAGCCCAGGCAGGATTCGTGCATCGTTCCAGGCTGGAGGCCCTCAAGCTCTTCCCTTTGCTTGGGAGCAGCCTGCAATCTGCTTTACTACCACACTGGCCAGGCAGTTCTGACTGCTGATAAGATTTATTTGATGTCTCCCTGCACCTGGGAAGCTGACAAAATCTATCAAAATTGGTGTTTTAATGATCAAGTACTTTTTTCCTGGCATCAGTACTCAGTATACTTCAACAAAGGGAAAAAGAAGTTATTAAATTTAAATCAACTGACTTAATCCATTTTGAAGTAATTCTGCCTTGGGAAAAATATTGTAGGTATACTGAGAAACAAAGAAACAAATAGATTCCCCCTTTATGGATATATGTATGTTCTGCTGCATAATGTACAATACTGTATTTTGAGTTCTGTCTTGAAATGCAGCTCGCCAAACTTCGGAGCTTAGCAAATGAGATAAAGAGAGAAGAGAAAGTGGATTGTAAAAGCTGCTTCCATTTTACTGCTTTCCATTCTATAAATACTGATTTTATAGGTGGGAGAGAGTTGGTAAGCAGGGGTCTGGGAGAAACATAAAACAAACTAAAGGTTTGGGCTTCGAATAAATTGTACTAAACTGAGTAGGTCAAAGGACTGACAGTGTCGGTCATCCAAGAATGAGTCTTCTTCCTATGAGGTACCAAGTCCCAGAAGATAAATGTGTAAAGGTTAGACAGACAGATAGTAAGGATCCTGCTCTGGAGTCAGTGGAAGCTATTAGTTTCACTGGGCTTTGGATGCTGTAATTTATTTCCTTCAGTTAAAGCCAATATCCTGTCCCTACTGATGCTCAGATATCAGCCACCTTCTGCAGCAAAGGCATTACAAGCTTGTGCTAGGATGTGCCAGAGAGCTGGCTTTATCATTTTCTATGCAAGTCCCGGGGCAGGGTATAAATGCAGTTGTAATTGGAAGAAAACAAATGTTGCTCCCCAATTGCTCAAATGAAAACTTGTGTTCAGGCATGGGGATTAGATATATTTTGGGACACGCAGCTCCAGCCTTTGTTGCTGGCCCAAGTGTTCTCCAAACCAGAGAGCAGAGCGTGTGGTACCTCAATCATGTCCAAACATCTCTTGCACTGTAAGTGCAGGTCTGCGGCACGAAGTCATAGCAGCCACAAACTAAAACGCCAGACAGATGTGTAAGTAACCCTCTAGGAGTGAGTGACTCTGCTGCAGTGAAATTCTCATGCCTGGGAGCTGGCAACGTGTCTGTGTGGAAAAAACTGACAGAAACTGGGGACTTACCTGCTGCTTTAGTCTTCAGTAGAGCTGACGGTCTGCTTGGCTCCCCAATTCCAACACTATTGCTGGCAACCACACGAAACTCATACTCAACCCAAGGGCTTAAGTCAATCACTGTTGCCTTGTGAGTCCTACCGTTAATAACTTCAGGAACTAAAGGTAAAGCAAACATATCATGACAATTTATTTTTGGAGTAATTAGTGGTATATAAAAAAAATACAAGACAGCTCTCGAATTTCTCACCTGTTGCAACTGCCTGCCATCCAACTGAGAAAGGAGTCCTCATCTGAATGCTGTAGATCTGGACTGGACTGTTATTATCTATTCCAGACTTCCAGGATAACACGGCAGTAGTGCTAGAAATATGTTCAACTTTAACATCTTCTGGTGGACCTGGGGGGCCTAATATGATTAGCATTTTAAGATGAAGGCGTTAGGAACAGGATTCATTACTGGGTTGGGCAGGGCAACTCTTACTTTCTCAAGCCAGTGGAATTATTCATGAAGCTGCAGTTTCATAAAAGAAGCACAATCTCTAAGTGATGGCTTCATGCCTGTTACTACGTTTTTCTAATTAATGAGGAATTTTGAGAGAGGAAAATGAATGTCCTTATGTTTCTAATATGAAAACTGCAAACAAGGGAATTTTTTTTTTCTCTGACAAAGGAAGTTACCCAATGTGCCTTTTTCTGAACCATCCAACATTTTTGGAATTCCTCTTGTATCTAATCAAAACTGATGTTTAGAAGGAATGCAAGATGGTACACTATACAGATTTCTGATTTCTACTAGTGTTTAGAGGATCTGCTCCCGTAACACCACTTGTCTTGCTGCTGGCAGTAAAAATTAGTTAGTTGACCATAGAAAATAATTTTTCATATTCTCTCCAAAGAATGGAAATGAACCAGGGCCCTTTTTTTTTTTTTTTTTTTTTTTCCCCCAGCCTGCACAGTGACCCAGAAATTCCCAGCAAGGAGCTGGTGACAGCAGTCTACTGAAAGTAGAGGACTTGCCTGTGTCCTGCCACATGGACCTGTGTGGCCAGAAAATTTTGCCTTCCAGAGGCCATGGCAGAACTGCACACATCTCCCTGTGTTAGCTGCACATGAGGATCATGCTGGTCAGAATCTCAGTTCAGTTTTGGGGCCAAGGGTACAAGATATATAGCATTTCACTACTGAAATATTGAATTGATATCCTAGGAATCATTTAAACAACAGCTGATGCTAAGTACTCCTAATTCCTCCAGAAGATATATGTGTCTACATTTAACAGACATACCTCTTACAATTATATCTACTGTTGCAGATTGACTGTCTAAAGTTGTTTGTACCATGCACACATATTTCCCAGAATGATGTAGCTGAATATTTCTTATCATCAAATCCCCAACAGATTCCTAGAGATACAAAGAAAGTAAACTAATCACTCACAACATGCTTTCCATACTAGACATTTTTATAAATTGCTCAATATTAATAAAAAATTCAGCTTTTAAATTAAAATATTCATAGCTATCATCCATTTCTTTCATGTGGACATTTTTATTATGGCTTCACAAATAACTCAAGTGCCTTTATGAAATTTAAGAAAGAAAAATAAATGGCTGCAGCCCTTGTAAAGAAACAGTGATTTGCAATGCATATAAATAGCAATGGAAGAATTATGATAAATATTTGTCTCATCTAAAGACTGGCAAATAGTTTCATTAAGCACTATGGAATTTAAGAAACTTACTCTTCCAATTCTTTCAAAATGACGTATTTCTCTATTAAAATCAATTATATTGCCATTGAATGACCATGTGAACACCACATCAACAGAGGGGTCATGAGACACCTGACATGGAAGGACTATGCTTTCTCCAACTGTTACATCCATATTAGAAGGTGGAATAATAATTACAGTCCTTTCTGTGGAGACAAAAAAAAAAATCCTTTTTATTAAAATGCTTATAAAAATAGTAGATCTTGAATGAGTTTTGTTCCATTTGTGAAATGATTTAAAATTGGCCCAAATGTTCCATAATAAAGAAAATTATCTCTAATACAGTGATGATTTCAGAACACTCTTACCCCTGTGCAGCCTACTACTTTTGCAGTATCAACACAATGAGCACACTGTATGCCTCTGAAAGCAAGCAGATGTCAGAGGCAACATGCTAAATTAGTCATATGTTACTTTGTAAAGCCCATAGTCAATAGATAAGATTTCAGCTCAAAAAGTACAGACTTCATCATTAAGACTTAAAAATATGCCCATGGTTCTTCAAACTTGAAAATCTCTCCTTACAGGAAACTGCAGCACAAGCAAAATTGCTGTTCATCTCTGCTTACCTTATACATTGAGATCCTTAATCTGTATTAATGTTAGTGGTAGTTTACCACACAGTGTTTCTTACATTACGGCTTCAAAGAAGATATCTTCACGGACAGAAAAACTATTTCTGTACTCTTTTTTAACCCCTTACACTTAGAAACAAACTTGCAGCTCTTATTAGGCAAAGTAGTAGCTTGTTGAAAGGGAAAGAAATAGGTTTATATGGCTTCACTTTTGTTGATATGACTGGCAGATAGATTAGAGATAACAACCACTTTGTTGTAAGCAATTCCCTTCAATAAAGCTTTTGTGCATGAAAATGTTATAGAATGGTGAGAATTGAGAGGCACGTGAATAAAATGAGAGCAGAATCTAGTCAACAATATTAATACATTCTATAAATAATGTGAAAGGAGCAGAAGAAAATTTGCAAGGGCTATATTGGTTCAATGTCCATTATGGCTTAACTCTGTGTGTTAGAAATTTGCTTGAAAATTCAGGATTTTGGTTTTACCAAAGCTTTAGTTCCAAAGGGTTGGTGCATGGTAGGGCATCCAACTCATTACCTGCAAACACATCTTCATTCAGACTGTCGCCATTGTTTCAGCAACTGATTAATATGTGGGTACAGACAGGCAATATGGGCTGAAACTTGAAGAGCTTCCTCCCCGCATCTGAGCTGCACTGGATGAATGTTACAGCCGTGGTCAAGTAGAAACAAGGTAGAATGTTGCATTTTCTGCTAACCTTTTAAAATAAAACTGGATCTTTCTAGTTACAATGATGTACTTGCTGCAGGCAACGAGTAACATTTTCCGAGGAAAACAAAGAAAGAACTTGTCTCATTTTTACTGCTGTAGACAAATTAGGTGTTTTTTTTCTGGTATCATTAAGAGAGTGTCCGAGGTTCTCATTGCGAGTTAGAGCTCAGGCTTGGAACATGCTTTCTCAGATTCCTCTACGTATTCTGACTGCTCTTCACAGCCACATAAAACTATCATTGTGGCAGCTCCATCAGTTTGTCTGAAGTCAAGGACTGCAGAAATGTGAAGGCCTCAAATGACTGTCTTAAAGATACTCGATCATTAGGTTAGAGAAATCTCTTCCTCTCCCTGGAAGCAGTGTGTCAGGTGCAATAAATACCAGATAATTCAAGGGCCATATTCTTTGTTGGCACAACTCCACTGATTTCAGCACATGCTGGCAAAGATCTTGGCTCCATAAATCTCAAATGAAGTAATTCCATTGTGGAGTACAGGTAACTTTTATAGAATAATTTTGAAAAATCTGTGGGAACTACAGAGAACCTCCACAAAATTTTATTTTCTGACTTTTCCTCCTGTACTTCTCTTATCCTCACAGCTGAAATAGAACTGCATGAATAACACTTTGTGGAGAGAAGTTCTGTTACTTACAATTGTGCTGTATATGTTAAAAGAAGAAAAAAAGAAGTAATACCCTGGTATACATGAAAAAATTGAAAGTTGTGATAGCTGGAACTTCTCTTTGCTACTAGCAGGTGGATGGGCATGATCTTCTGGCCTGAGACGGTCTTACAAGCTCATCATCTCTTCCTCCAGAGTCATCCTGTAAGACTCTCCTTCATTAAACCTATAAACTATGTGTATCTCTACCCTGAGTTCTTAAAGGCAATGAAATATGGTATTGAAGAAGCAAAGTCTTCCCCTGAACACCAGTGTTCAAAGTGGAAATTTTACCTTGCTCTGACTGCTTTTGACATGCTTTCTCCCAGACTCCACTCAGTTTTTGTCTGCTCTGTCTTTAGCTGTGAAGAAGAGATGTCTCAACACATATTCTCTCATAAATGATGCAATAGGTTACACCTAATTTACAGGAGGGAGTCAAAGGGTCTGGCAAGTCAGCCTGGGCTGACCTCCCAGGGTCTGACCTGGTCGGTGGAGCTGGGCGAACCAGGAGGTGGGAACTGGCTCCTCTGAAATCGCTGCAAGGGTCACCTCCACAGCTCCTGCACACTGTACCTGCCCCTGGGAATGGAGAGGGCTGGCCCTAACAAGGCTCGTTTACAAGGTCAGTAATTAGGTGGGGAACAGCACATTTCCTAAACCTTCCATTGGTAAGCTCAATATACGGACACGTGTAAACAGCAGTTACAGGTTTCGGCTTCCCAGCCCTCTCGGATAGACCCCAAAGCCTAGGATGAGTTCCTTGCTGCCAGGTATAAACTGCTGCTGGTATTTCATCTGTCTGCCTTAAAGCTGACTTGGAGGTATGTTTTGCACTGCTTTGATGACAGCCTGAAGACACCCTTTGAATTGGGTATTCTGCTAAAACCCCAAATCATTTATAGTATCAGTGAAAATCACCTTTTCTGCTTCCGTTCATTCAGCATTAATAAAACTTTGTGCCACTACTGAATTTTCCATGTGTTAAGAACTCCCTGCCTTTCAAATTTCTTTTTAAAATATCTACCCTTCACAAGACCCACATCACCTCTACTGCCACAAGTCTCAATGCCACCTCATTTTATAACTCCTGCTTCTCTGTGCTGGATGGTTGGTCACCAGGATTAGTGCAGTTTGATTCTTCTGCAATGCACCGTGTACAATGACAGCATTCTATAAATAAGTAAAACACTATAAATAAAAGCAATTTATTTCTACGGAAAGGTTAAAGTAAGACTAAGCAAGAATGATACAAACAGGATTTCATAGAAATTGTAATCAGATTCAATAGTTGCATTCTAAACCCCATAAAATACAAACAGAAAATGATGTCCTGTTTTTTTGTAAAATCTTTAAGCCTCCATCAAAGCCAGTTGTCTGTTGCACAGGAAGGGGCCATTAGCTACATCTGGTTGTAATGAAACTGGCTGGGAATTTTTTGAAACTTTTCTTCATCAGAAGGTTCCAATAATATTACAGTTGCCTCATTAGATCTGTTATGTAATTTCTTGTGTCACATTCAAAGAGATCAGAAATAAGACATCTGCAATCTTGTTATAAAATGTTATTAGAAGGAATAAAAAATCCAGAGATCATTTAACTGTTAAAACCTTTGGAATATCTCATTAGGGAAAAGATAGAGATAAATATTTTGAAAAAAATGCATTCTGTGGAACCCTCTAGTGAACCAGTATTTTGGAATATCAGAAGATAAAGGCTTCTTATAACACAAAAAATCCCAGTAGCTATATGCTACTGGTATTATAAGAAGTCTATTTTCTTATTGGCATGAACCTATTTGTCTCCACCAAATGAATAGCAACAAGTGTCCTTTTGTGAATTATAGTGGATTTGTGTGTGAGGTGTGGTTTTTCAGTAGTGTTAATAAAAAAAAAAAAAAAAATTTTATTATGGTATTATCATCCTTTTGTATCTTTTGTTCTAGCCTGCTTATATCCACTGATACCACTGATGTAGACTGGTTCACTTGTGCAATATTTTCTGCTTCTTTTATGGTGTTGTCTTTAAGACTTCCACCTCAAATACTTTTAAAAGCTTCTTAAAAGCTCTTGGTTCTACATTGTCTATCTATCTTGCTTAGCAACTGCAGACATGCTTTATATGGCAAATCCCATTCCAGAGGAGAAAATAGATAAGATGTTGTGAGTGCTGGAGGTATAATAAAGACTTCTCACACAAAGAATAAACAACTGAATGAGCAGCAATAAACTTAATTTGCACATTAGATATGCTTTTCCAAGTTCTGACATTTCAGTTGAAAATAATGCTGAAGCAATGAGGCCTATAATTGAACAGCCAAAACTTCTCCAGAGGGGAAACAAAAACAAATGTTCCCTGCAAACAAGATCATTTTTATACCATGTTGTTACTCAGTGTTTTAATAAACTTCATAAATGCCAAAGAATTTTTTTTTTCATGTTTTAATGTGATTTTCCCATATTACTCCATTAGTTTGTACGTATGTGATATGTGAAATGGTATATAATCTTAATGAAGTCAGAGCTGCTTAAACCCTAAACTTCTTGGTTTATTCATTGCTAGCTGTGCTGTAACATCATCTCAGATCGCACGTTGCACTGCATCAATGTTAATTGCTCTTTCACAACATGAGCATGAAAAAGATTTTTGCCAGATGCAGTAGGTTGGGGAGGAGAGCATGCCTGCAGGCTACAGTAACCATTCTGAAGTCAGTGAAAACAAGAATATTAAGAAAAAAGAGTTATAAATTACATTTAATAATGTGCTCTCCTTGTAACTACAGACATTATTATTGTTAACTGTTTTGCAAAACTGATTAATATGCTTACTATAATCTCAAAGGTTCCATTTTTTATGTTGTTCTAATTTAAAATCAACAAATATGAATACTTTTATAAGAAACTGTCTATATTGAAAAGGTTGTTGCTCAGTTGCTCTTTCTTGAGCAAAGAGAAAAAAGACATACTAAGTTTGCTTCAGTTTTTCTTTTTTCTTTTCTTTTTTTTTTCTGTCAGTGATCAAAGATCAGAGCATAGTCATTTCATATGCTGCTCATAGGAACATCCATAGAAAGAATATCTCTTTTCATCTCCTCCAGCTCTGGACTAGTCTACCTGAGTGGTAAGTTTATATAAACTCTTTTTACTAATGGAGATAGACCATCCACCAGCACAGCAAAAACTTGAAGCAAAGGACTGCTTTGGACATAAAGTACTTTAATGTGTTCCACAATGTTTTTAACTGTGTTTCAAAGAAAGGTGAAAAATAGTGCTGGTAAGACACCCACTGCAGAGCATCACTGGACTGAGCCCAGTAGAGCCAGAGTGTGCCCCAGCACAGACAAAGCTGCAGCTTTGGAGGGAAGGAGAATTACAGCTGATGTGACCATCTGATAGGTGTGTCTCCTAACCCATAACAGGATTTTCTGGGTGTTTAATGATCTTGATGGGACAAGTTCAGAGTGATGATGCTCAAAGAGGAAAGTCACTTTCTTTTTAAAGAGGGAAGTAAAGTTTTGTCTCATACATAATGGAGAAGAAAATAATAGTAATGTGAGAGGAGGATGTTTCTCATTCTTCCTTCAGAAAAAGATCTGTCTAGTTACATTAACCTGTAGTTAACAATTGAAATGGTTTAATTAAACCAAAGCCTAATGTAAGAAAATATAAGCAAAATAATCAAATGCTTTCAGACAAAGGGGTGTCCTGTGAAAAGAGATGTCTTACTATTATTATCCAGGAAAACAAACAAAGCATAGAAGATACCTTAACAGATGTCTTGTTGTATTATTAATGGAGCAATTAGACTTGGGGAGGGCTGTGGAAGGTGGCCGTTTTAATATTCAGAATCAAAAGTCCTGTGAAGGGCTAAAGAAGAGCTGTTTCTTGTCTCTGATTTGTTTTGGAGTTATTTATCAAAGTAGTACGCAGCAGCTGGGATGCAGAGGAGGAGGGGGGGGCTCCAGGACCTGCAGGATTGCAGGGTATGCAACATCTACCTGCCCCACGCTGAAGAAAATAAACCCAACCTGATTTTCAGATTATTCCATAACGTCTTTTTTTTTTTGGCACTCAAGCTTTAAAAGTCTCTTTTGCAGTCTCAGATATGATATAAATTGTAAATGAGCTGAATAAACTTGTTCAAGCACACTGCACAGCATACCTGGAACCTCCACACTGCCTCCGTGTCCTTTCAAACCCTGGCTGCAGCAGTGCAGCCCATACCTCCAACATCTAAATGGTACTGCAGTGCAAATATCGTTATTAATGTTACTACCTGTTTCTGTGTATACCTTGGGAGACCGCCCTGATAAACAAATTGATCATGGGAAGCAGTGCAGTCATGAGGTTTTCTTTGCTGCAGGCAGTGGAGAGCTCAGTTTCAGCTTTAAACTGTAAGTAAAAACCTGTCAATACTAGCACTGATCAGCACAGACTTGGGCATCCTAATGAAAAAAAAAAAAGCACATACTTTCTAGTATTCATAAAGCAAAAGAAAATATTCAAGTACCTTTTACAATCAGGTTCCCTGAATTTCTGGCAACTCCGAACTGATTTGTTGCTATACAGGTGTACACCCCAGCATCTGATTTGGTGATGTTATAGAGCCTGAGACTGCCATCCTCTAGTAAGATGACCCTGTGGAAAAAAATAAACCAAAAATAATTTTTAAATATTTCTGTTACAGGAACAGTAATAGAAATGCAATGCTACTTTTAATATTTAAATATTTCCATTATACTTTTTCTCTTCTACAACAAGCTGAATATTTATCAACCAAGTTTCAACCCGGCTTATTATTGATTTCTATATTAGGAATGTTATATTGACATACTGAAGTTGGCCATTAACTTATCTAGCTGACTTTCTTGCAGTAAAATTTGGAGTCTCAAGAGAAAGAAGGAAGACCCAACTTGCTACCTAATTGTGCTATATTTTACCATGGTTTGTTGTTTTTTTTTTTTTTTTTTTTTTATCTCTAGATCCCAATGCTCCTATGCTATACTAATGTTGTCTCTGAGCCCAGCTGCCTGTGCAATTTTGTCAGGATTATTAAAAGATATTAGCAGACTAGCTGAGATGCTGAAATGCCATCTCACAAGCCAAGGAGCCAAATCAAATACATCGCTGTCTCGTAGGGCCTTCAAATCACCTTATTAGTCACTATGTTGTTTACACCAGTTTGCAGAGTATAGGGTAAATTGCATTTCATAGTGATTTCAGGACCACTCCTGGGTTTTATAGACAAAATTCATTTCTAATCTTGTTCATATGCTTCTTCATGTCAATGAAATACTTTAGGATGTAAGTCAGTACAGAGTACGGCATATGTTTTCCTTAGGTAAGCTTTCACTGTATGTTTGGCACCTTTTTGCTTTTACATACAAGGACAACACCTCAAGGTTTGGGGATTTTCTTCACAAATATACAGAACACATTTATCAAAGGTAGATAATTTCAAAATCAAAACTGAATTAGGTAAGCGATGAACTTTTGGACAGAAAATAATATTATCCTGTATTGTTTTGTTAATTTTGTGTTAGGTCTTCCATCTACCTGTTACACCTGGTAGATGTTGAAGTTCTTGACCAATTTCTTCTGACTTCAGAAGAAGTACAGTGGGCTGAAAGATAGTAAATTCCTGGAATTTTCATGAAAATGGGGTCAGGGTTTCTATGTACAACCCCTCTTGCCAGTAAGGCCACTGCATGAGCACACTCCTCGTAGGCATCAGAGAATCTGCACCCAACTGGGGAAGAGCTGCACTCAAATGCCACACTTGTTTACAACTGATAAAATCCAGCTGTAAGTCACAAATGCACAGGAAACCGGGCTTCATTCATTCCAGTGCTCACAGAAGTACTGCATTATTTTTTTATATTCCTCTTTTAATTGGCATTTAAATCTAATACAAGAATCCTTTTATAAAAAGAAAATATCTAATTCATGCATCACAGCTTGGGTATTTAATATTTATTACAACATAAGATTGGATGATGTAATGAATTATTAAAGGAAATGAACAATAACAAGAGCAGAAGTTGAGGCTGGCAGTAATATCATAGCCATTAAACACACAAAAACCATCATACTGTCTTGCTGCATTCCACTCTGGTATTTATACACTTGTATCTATATGCGTAACACACATTAGACCTTGTTCTGCTTCCCGTTACACACTCCCAGCTGATGAAGAGAAGTGCTAGACTTGGATTCCTGGAGGTCTTCTTGCTTACATCCCCCCAGTCTCGTGTGTCCCACTCTGGTCTGGCCTTACCCTGCCTAAAGATCTGCTTCTCAGCAAGGCAGGGTTGGATTTAGGAATGAGAAAAGCTAAGATGTCCCCATAGTGCCAGGCAGTCTGTCACTGGGGTGTGGAGCTGTGAGGGGAAAGGATTTAGGCTTGAATGAAAAATCTTTGTTTCCTTGGCAATAATCACCAGGTACTGCAGCAGTTGTTTGCATGCAATTTGTAGTACGATGAGAAAATAAGTTTGGGTTTAAGAATCTATCATATATCCATATTAAACCAGAGAGGAGCAAAATATGAGGCAACAAACTACACTCTTCAATATAACGACGTATCAATTAAATGACATTTTTTTGGATAGGGATGAATAAGAATGAAAGAACCGAGCCTTTCTGCTGGCTTCACAACACCATGCATCAAAACAAGAGACTATGGGTGCCTCTCCCCCTCAGTATGGGGACACGACTGATGACAGTATCTCAAAGGCAGGTTTAAATAAGAAGAAACTTTCAGAAGTGTTCCACTTCTGCCTCTGCTATTTTCTTTGCATTAATGATGCATTTCTTCACATCAGTTTTCACCAGCCACAAGAAAACACCCTCATTAGAAACTGCTGGTGATAAAACAGTTGATTCAATTGACTGGTTAGCTAACATATGGTGGCTTCATCAAACAGTATCAAAAGAGATTCAAGTGTGAATCAGCAAATGTTCATAAATTGGATACCTGAATAATAAGTTAGAATAAGCCACTGTAGTGTTTTCCTCACCATCAAATATTGATTCCCTGTTATTTTTACTGCAGATGTACCTAAGAGCTCTGGGTGGATAAATTGGAATCCAGAAGTGGGCATGAAGCAAAAGAAAAAGACAATCCCAGTTCCCAAAAGCTTCCAATATAAGTAAATACACAGTAAAAAACAGTCTGTAAAAGATAGAGAATAATAAAAGGGAGAATCTTTGAATGCACAGGCTTTGTGCTTATCACCCTATGTATTCCTGGCTAGGGCTTTTTCACTGAAGTTTAGTCATGTCTCAGTCAGATTGTGTTTTCGTGTATACTTCATTAGAAATTGAGACCTGAATAATTCCCAGCTTCCTGGTTTATCCACTGAGAGGGGGGTTGTAGTCACTCTAGAGTTGACGAGATAATGTTTGATCTGAAGGAATGCTGTTCTGAAACAATATTTCAACGGATGGGCAGACTGAGGATGGAATGGCTCTTTCAACAGATCAAAACAGAGCTTAGCAAAGAGAAACCATGGGCAAATAAAAGCTTCAGAGTTGTTTGAAACAGAGGTCACACTACCTAAAGACAATTAGGGAGCTAGCAGTAAATAAGATACTCGGGCAGAATTTATGTAAAAGCACAAAAGACTCCAGAGTAATTAGTTAGCAGGGAAGGGAATTAAAGAAAGAAAAAAAAAAAGTGAGTAATTTCCAGCTGTACTGAGGTCTGTGTCAGGAGAGGGATGAGAAAGCAGAGCACAGCAGAAAATCAAGATGATGTATTTCAAATGCAAGGAAAAAAAAGCAATGTGAAATACCGACCCAGTTGCCATGAACAACAAAGTTGCCATAAACTTCCTCAGAGCCATGACTTTACGCCATGGATGGGTTCAGAGGGGGCTGCACTTTATCCTCATCCATTTGTCTTTCAAATAATGGAACTATGATTCTGAAGGCAATGGGAATGTTTTCTTTAATGGGCTTCAGATCAAGCTCTAGCAAACAATTTAAAAAGAAGCTGCGAAACACGTCTCACCTGCTGAAAGGCTTGCTGAAAACTGTTACTTTTCACAATATTTTAGACTACATGAAGGCTATAGATAATAATTCTTAGCATTTGCATCAGAAGACAAGGTAATTCCAAGTACTGTTACAAGACAGGAAAGTTTAACTTGTCCAGTATAATGATAAGTAGAATATTTTGTCTGCCAGGAAAACTGGACTTCTCTCAGTAAGTAAATGGGTGCCTGTCAAGGGATAAAAAGCAGAAGATCTGTAGCAGATCTGATAAATGCAACCCTGCAAAAGAAGGAGAAGGAAGAATTAAATGAGCTACTCGGGACACAAGCGTTCATAAAGCCCCGTTGCAGCAAGAGATTGCTTAGGCATAAACCTAACTCTCAGCTGACATCTCTGACTTACAAAATGCTTAAATTCTTATCAGACTAGTGCTGATGCCTATGTTCCTGCCTGAATTACACAGGTGCTACCTCTGGGTAAATAGCTCAATTAAGCAAAGTTGCTATGAGGAAAAGAAGAGACGAACATCCGGTTATATAAATCCACACAAAGTTCCTGCACACGAGGGCTAATTAGAAATATCCAGAAACATCATTCCATATATAACAAGCCTGGGAACTTACCCTGACAGAAAGATGGGTATGTTGGATGCAGTTCACTTTGTGAGGATCATAGGAGCATAAGACAGCTCTTAATGCCCAGTTCAGAGACAAGTCCACCCCACTTTCCACCTGCAGGGTGCCCGTGGCACAGGGTAAGGATGCACAGCAGGTTCCACAGTCCCTTCCCAGCATAAATGACCTGCATCCCGGGGCTTGGACCTAGAGATGGTGCCTTCCTACTTAGGATGAAATCTGTCTGCAGGAATGAATCCAAAGCCCTCTGCAAACCTTTAGTCCCACAACAGTGCGTGAGAAGATTTTCCCTGGTTTATGTAAACATAGTGTAAGCGACGTCCTTTTGTTTTTGTTGTTGTTTTTTTTTTTTTTTTAATCTACTCATCCTATTGGATTGATCCACGTCTCGGAGTGACTCTGTTAATATATAAGATAAGCATAATATGCAGAAAGGGAAAACAAACAGCCTACCCGAGATCCGCTGGAGTCAAAACTGTGTGTAGTGTTCAAAAAGAATAGTTTGCGATGTTTCTGCAGAAGACATGAGACTGGGAAGAAGTGAGAGCTCATTAAAATTGTCACACATACTTTTTAAGTAAAGAACTTGAGAAATCAAGCGGGGATGATAGGTACAGCTTTTAATTAACCAGGCCAAACAAACCATCTCTGAAAGTGTTGTCTCATGTGAACAAAAGATTGTTGATGGCTATTTGCTTTGAACTTAAGAGCATGAAAAAATAATATGTACTTAACAAGGTTGATAGAAAAATAAAATCTGAGAAAAGAAAGAGGTGTCAACTCATTAGATTTTAAAGTGCAGCAGAGGTAATTTTTCTGCACTGCTGTATCGTTCAGCCAATCTGTTTTAGAGAGAGGTGTGATTTTAATTCATGGATGTGAATTGCATTAATTCAATACAGCAAATGTCTTTGAAACACCCATCAAAATTGGTTGAGTTGGATTGGTGTAAAACTGGGGGTGAATCAAGCCTACTTCTACAGATTTCAGCACTGCCAGTAGGGT